AGGGACCAGGGAAGGGGAGAGGGGAGCTGGCTGAGCAGGAGACTAGCAGGAAAGCCTTGGCCTAGCTCTCCATGTGGCACAAAAGCACGTTAATTAGATAAAGGCTGACCGGCTTGGGATTGTCTCTCTGATCTCAAAGGACACCCTAACTGGAGTCTTGATAGGGGGAGTCCCTGAGTAATCAGTGGGATCAGTCAGCCTGCCCTTCGGTTTGTTTCAGTTCTTGTTTCCCTGGGTGCGCCCTGTCATTCTGACTAAGGGTCTCTGCATGTGAGCTGGGGAGAGGTGGTCTGCTCTCCCTTAACCAGAGGCCTGAGTCTCCAGCCATCTCCCCTGAGGACTATGTGAGCTCTGAGAGCTTAGTCTTGTCATCTTTGAGAGCAGATGCTCACAACAAAAGAGCCTATAGGAGAAAGTGTTTCCCCACCTTCCCTGTGATTTTGCAAACGTTGGTGATGCACGGTCTCTATGTCATCATTGTTTCTCACACTTCTTTGCTCCATGATGTTATCCACTCTTATTTCTCTGGGCTTTAGTAAGCTCGGCTGCTTTAACACAGCGTCTGAAGGGCAAAGGGACAGCTGATGAGTGCACATACATGAGCTAGAATAAACACACTGTTTCTTCTTCATATCTGAAACAGAATCACTTTAACGCAAACAGCCCAAAAAGCACACTCTACTTCAGTTGACAACACGAGGTCCAGAAAAGCACAATTAGCCAGCGTTCTGTACATGCAGTTCTGTGCTCTGACACACAAGCACACATTCGCATTCCGCGATGCCGGAACAACACAGCTCATTGTCTCTCCAGACACGACACATTCAACCCACATTTGCTCCTCAGGCTAAATGCCCTGCCTGAAATTATACACCCCCTGTAGATGTGAGTAAATACACAACTGATGTGAGCTCACACCATCGGGGCTGCCGGGGAAAGAAAAGACAATAAAAGCATTTGAGAGAAAGCTCCTTCCTGCATACTTCACATCAACACACTGCGCTACCGTTCGTCACCGATCCAGTTCCACGCACTCGGTGACACAGCCAGCTCCTAGTGGGTGGTTGTGAAATAATCAGGGCTCGAGGGTGCCATGGGGAGGACCCGTGCCATATCCCTGACACAGCACTTGTGAGGAGAGAGGAGATGCTCTGGAATTTTGTAAACAGGTTCCCACTCACACTGCTCATGCCCGGGGCCCCTGTGGGGATGAACACGGCCCACCAGGTCACTGCCCCCAGACGCAGGGCTGCTGGGCCTCCCAGCAGAGTCCTGCTCGACTGCAACAGCGGAGAGCTGTCTGCCCCGACACCAACCCACGCGCAGTGTGTTTCTTCAGTAAACAATGAGGATACCAGGGGGGACTGCTGACTCTGCTTTCAGGCATCGAGGAATGTGCCAGGTGGACCATTTTAGAGCACAGGAACGTCGGAACAGTTCCAAGGAAGTGGAAGCCATTCAGCCCTTTCAGCTAGTTTGACGGTAGCATTTTGATTGGAGCATCAGATTCCTGTTGTTCATTCAAGCCTACCAGGAAATCCATATCAAAAAGATAACGGTGGAGATTGTTCCAGACCCCCACAACTCTTTGCGTAAAGAGGTGGGGAAACTTGGTCTTAAATGCACCTCCTCTTCATTTCCACTTAGACCCCCTGCCACCACCAGCTGTCTGCAATACCATAGGCAAGCTGACACAGGTCGCTGGTTTATGTGTATGTATATTAGGTGCATTAGCAACCCTGATAGCTGAAGGCTGCGATGTGGGAATCATGGCGTCTCTCTCCACTTTTTAGAGAAACATACACCTTTATTTGAGCATTAAAGGCATCTGATTTACATGTTACATAAAGTCGGTGTATGACTTAAAATTTTTGCTGACGGAGCATGACATGTCAGAGGAGCAAGGGCGTTGCCCCTTCACAACCCCGAATTAGTCACTACTTTTCATTGTCCCAGATGAAAACATTTTAATTTGACGGCAGGTTACGGACACAACACAACACAACACAACGCGCTGCATTAAAATAAATTCACAAGTAAGAGAAAGAGGGAAAGATGAGAAAAAGAATGAGATTAAAAACAAAAAATAAAGTAAAATATGCCATCGATTGTTTGAATGAAGCAGGTTAATAGCTCTGGGAATAAAAGATAACTGAGTTGCCTTGCACTCGAATCTGTTTAGTCTAAATCGACGCCCAGATAGAAGGCGCTCATATTCCCTGTGCGAACGGAGGTCATGATTATAGCGGCCCTTCCGCGCCTCTCTTGTTCCCCGACTGCGCGCTTTCGTCTCCAGCACGGCTGCTACCTCTCGTCCGTGCCCTGCTGGAACAAAGAGCGATGCCTATTGAAACGTTGCTTTACTTTCAATGCGACATCTTCACGCCTATTCTCTCTGCTGCTTTTGCGGCGGTTTTTCGTCCTTGCCAAAGTTTCGATCGCCTACCAGTCTGATTCCCCGAGGGCCATAATTTTTATTAAATGTATGAAAATTTACAAATACAAATACAACCAGAGGATCAACGAGTCTGTTCTTAGATTTGTGCCGTGAGAGCGAACGCGTTTGTGCGTGCCCGGCCTGTGTACCGGATGCTGGATTTTGCTGGGCGCTGTTCATTCATAACTGACTTGTCGTTACGACGTGTTTGGACATCCATTAACGTGTCTCTGTGTGCTCATACAACATATTCTAAAAGAAATGCGCTCTAATGTCTGGAGTCTTTGTTTTCCCCCTGAGCACCCATTTCTTAAAAGGCAGTTAGGGTATCACTGCTCAGTCTCATTAGGGTATCACTGCTCAGTCTCAAAACATTTAGCAAAGTGCCTAAGGCTGTGCTCAGCACCTGCTGCTCCATGTGTAAGACTGTCCATCCAACTATTTTCTAACCCCCTTATCCAATACCGGATCACAGTTGGGGGCGGCTGGAGCTTACCCCTGGTCAAGGCAGGATACACCAGTCCATCCCAGTAAACCACACACTCACTCACACCAGGGCCAGTTTTCACAGAAGCCAGTTAACCTACCTGTATGTCATTGGGCTGTGGGAGACAACCAGAGCCCCCAGATGCAAACCCACATGAGCACAGGGAAAACACATACAGCCTGAATGGCTTTTCTGAGCCTTCTGCCTCTAGAGCTCCCTGCCTGTCAGGTTTCTCTGAAGCTTTTCATTCGTACATGTGCTGTATTCCCTGACTGGCTACAGCTGTTATGATGATATTGATGATTATTATTTAACTTGGATACATGCCACAATGTTGTTGTTTTTTTGTGTCCTTGATTCATGTGCAGCCTTTAGTGAATTAATTTGCCCGGTGTGGACAGTGCAGAATCTGAAATTTACGGTCGTGCTGCATGCTTTACAGCTGCAAATCTCACTTCATGCAGCTGCTTTCTGACTAGGATGTGACCTGGGAGTCCTTTGGCAGATATATATAAAAAGCTTAATGTCTAAAGAATGCAAAGACCTCAGCTTTACTGCGGAAGTTATTTTCATTGGATGTTTTTCTAGATTTGTCTCCAACATCAATCATTTGCATATAGCACTTGTGCATATGACAAATGAACTGAGAAGCTAATGTCAGAGGTGGAAATGGTGAGCCAAGTGCTTCACAGTGTTTGGGCTTTCTTATGTTCATATACTGGCACACTGCGTGTGTGTATTTATCGCATACATGGAATATAAATCACCACCCCCCTCCCTCAGTGTAAGCAAGTCCTGATTCCAGGGCTGGAACCTGCCAGGCGACTCCACATTCTTTCTCAGTGAGGCTTGAGAGCATTTTTCTAGCAGGAATTTCTCACGTTTTTTCTCTTTTACAAGGTCCACAAGTTGTCAGAATCCAGTGCCCCTGCAGTGACAATCCCAGCGTCAACCCCACAGTACATCCTGCGGTGCAGACACGAGACACTGTTTACACCAAGGGTGGTGGGAGTATTGAACAAGCCCCCTCAAAATGCCGATACTCTGAATTTTCTCCAAAAAAAATGGCTGGTTGAAATCCTATCATCAGTTCCTACCGACTACAAAAAGAAAGGCATAGCTAGGGCAAACAGTCTCCTTCCCTTTGTAACCTTGCTTATATTCTCATGGTCCATCTCAGGAGAATTCTACAGCATCCAGGTTTCAAGGGGGTTACATTTCCACACCTACACCCCCTCATTCTGCCCCTGAGCAGCAGCCGAGCTCCTCCTGCATGACGTTATGGTGTCCAGTCTGGACACACGGGCTGGACGGTACCAAAATACGATGCTTGTGTCTGGTCAGAGGGGCTCAAGCACGAGGAGCTGCCGTGTGAGACCTCAGTGTCCACTTGCTTCGTCATGTGTGGCGTCAGGTTTCAGCTCACTGAACTGACCACAACCCGGTGACACAGACTCACACCAGTGTCCTCATCAGGATTACACAGTCATCAGTCTCTTAGTAAGTGCTCTCTAATAATGCCTGGTGTCATCGCATCCCTTTCACGTAAATCAGGGAGGGGTTAATCAGTCTGAATGTAGGGTAAAACCTGCATTCAAAACATAGAAAGGGCTCACAGGAAGCACACAGGGAGCAGAGATCTAGTACAATGTTTACATGGGCATCCTCACAACATGCACAGGCACAGAAACACACATTGTGCTGACCGCCCTGTTTCCCAGGCCCTCTTCTGCCTCGCAGCGATCCCTTCTCTGTTTCCCTGATGCTGGGGTTTCCCTTTTGATGTTCCAGTTCCTTCCCTTATAATTGCACATTATAGAAACTAAAGACCCACAGCAAAATTATGCAAAAACCCAATCAGAGTGAAACTGTTCATGCCAGTAACAAGGGTTAAACCACAGAAACAGAAGCTCTTGCATGAAGACTCAGGGTGGGGTTTCTTCATACTGGCGGAGTTTCGGTCCCAGGCTGATGACACCCTAGGAAGGCAGAAACCTGATGACTGCCCGGTATTAAGTTCCGATCAGTCCCCTGCGTCACAGGGAACCCAACCCCCCCAGCCTCTCTCACCTTTCAGAGGTCAGCACCTTGTCGACGGGACTGTTTCTTTAGCTGTTCCGCCTGGGAAACGCATCTGCAGCAAAGCCCCGCCTCCGTAGCACGCGTCCGCGTCTCAACATGAACGACTCGCTGGCTGGCCTGCTCGCATTGCCCACCCGCTGCTTCAGCAGAACTCCCCACGCTTCCTCGCAGTGGGGGGCGATTTTAGGTGATCGATACAGCAAAAGAAGAACACGTCAGGGAACCGCTGCGTCAAAAAAAAAACTTTGTTTCTTTTTGTGTGCGGACATCACAGCTTCGTCTTTCTCCCCTGTGTCGCTGTGTCACAGCCCTGTTTCTGTAGGAGACCGAGATTTCAGGAAAGTCTGCGCTTTCTTCGAATCACACTCCCCTGTGTAACAGCAGATTGTACAGCTTTGATGGTAGGCAGGATAAGGATAAGGTAAAAATGAATGTATTTAGTCTGGGGGGGTTCTAATGTTCCCAGAACATTAGCAGTCACATTACGCTACAGAGTAATGTATTGGCTCTGCAACTCCAAAACACCTCTGGAAAGTTACAAAGGAGGAAAGGACAGCGCAGGTGTGTTTACAGTCTTTCTGTTCGGAGAATCGGAAAGAAATGGCACACTGGCATCAGAAGGTGCCAAGAGTCATTAATCCCAATATGAGCAATACTGAGCCACCTCATTTCTCCTGAGCACATTGCAAACCAGTGCTGACAGTGCATTCAGCAAAGACCTGGCAGAAAAGACATACTGCATTTCACATTTTCATTTTTACACTGAGGGAAGGCCTTTCAGAGGCGGCCCATTTCTTAATTAAAATCCATTGCAGGATAAGTGGCAGGCCTTCCTAAAACCCCCATCCCTCTCCTCAGATGAGCCAACAGCAGCATTTTCATCAAGGCGCGGTGTGACTCTGTAGGCGTTGCAGCAGAGGAAGCTTTTAGAAAGTGTGTCAGGACAGGCGACAAAGCGCCTGTTCGATCTAATCAAGAGCGCGCGCCGTGACAAATCTATACGAGGGCACTGGGACTGCTGCTCGGGCTGTAAACATTGTAAGGCCTCCTGACACTGCCGGCTTCATGGGACACATCTCACAGGGTTCTCCTCTCCCCGTCTGGACACAGCCTGTGAAAACTCAGCGCTGCTCGGCCTCGGAAACGTGCCACTTCCACAGGTAAACAAGGCGAAGACCCCCAGCTCTCTCACGGCTCCAAAGCTAAGACGAGAGCAGGTGAGCTAAAAGACGGGCCGCATTCTGAGAGAGCTGCTTGAATCTAACTGTGGCTTAATGAACTTTGGCCTCACAATGCAGAGTCAAACAATACCCTTACAATCTCGGATCCCATCAAACCAACCCTTCTGCTGCTATGGCGTCCTGATCTTACTGATCTTCCTGATCTCAGTCTTGGGTATAAGTGCCCATGGCTTCTCAGGTCTTACTGCAATCACACCACCCGCTGCTCCTTCCTGTCCTCGCTTGTTTGCTGTTCTCAGCACATGACCTTGAGCCTCAGATAAGGCAGGAATGCCAGCCGGAGTGCAGCCCAGCAGACACAGCTCTGTGGGGGGTCCCACATGGCACAGCCCAGAGCCCAGGGCCCAGGGCGAAGGGCCTCAGGAGCTCACCGAGACTAACCCTGCTACCTGCAGCAGCACCACCACAGGAAGGAAGGAGATCCGAAATGAATCAATATTGGAGCAACCCACCCCACACTTCACTAGTAGAGCCTATCTCTGATCAAAGGTTAGAAATATTAAAGTAAGGTCACAAAATAATTGCTGCGATTCCAAGCCCCGGAGCAAAACACATGAAGAAAGCATTCTGAATTCCTGCAAAATCTTGGGGGGCAAAATCCCTGAAATATCCTGTGGGAAACCCTTGTTACAGAGTTCCACAGATTCTTCCCTGTGATCGTTCTAAAGGATATTTAGAGCACAGGCAGCTGAACAAATGGATCTAACTGGAAAGTTAATGGCTTGGTCTAAAATCACAGCTGCAAAGCAATATAGTGGCTGTGGAGAGTATGCAGAGTTTGTTTTCATTTTTCTTACATTTATATTTGGTATTTACTGTGTTATAGCTTGTGGCGGGTATCATGATTGCCTATAACCCTCCGCCTTTTACCCCTATCGATACCTGTGCTTTAGTAGACAGTGCTGTGATTTCACCCTGGTAAAGCATGGTAAACTGATACAAGGGGCGTAATTCCCTGCTGTAAGCCCTGAGGGGTGGAGACACTCCACAGCGGACAGCGAGGAATGGTTGGGGGGGTACCAAATGGGGGATTAAGTCTCAAAAGAAGAGAAGTGTTTCTCTCCGTAGGAACAGCAGTGAGTGTCTTTGGATCAGATTGTGTTTTACTTTAATAACAATGGTCTCTATGCGTCTTTAGGAGCCCTCCCCTTTCCTGCAGCTGTACGCTCATCCTCCTTAACTGTGCTGGAGAACAGTGTGTGTGTCGCAGTCAGCTGCAGGTTCAGGGAGTACATGTACTGCAGGGACTATCCACAGGATAGTGTTCAATTCCAGGTGACTGCACGCTCCCCGCTAAAACACGAGAGCTAGAAAGCTTGATTGTTTCAGCTGTACTACTGTAATTCTCCGTGGGTACTGTCGTTTGAAGACGTTTACTGTGGTTAGTTCTGAGCACAGCGCCACGTTACAGGCCTGGGATTTAAAGAGGTCAGAGGTCAGCAGGTGTCAGTGAACCAACTAGGAGAGGTTTGGTTTTATTCAGAAACGTCTACCTCCAGGCTATATTTCTAAATCTTTTGATGAAGCAAAAATAAAGTTAAGACATCTTGCATGGCTTTTCATTATGGAACATTAAGAGTTCCCATCAGACAATTAATTTCATCATGTTCCATTAAAAGTTTATTTTTCCTTTTTCAAAGGAAGCAAGAGTAGGAGGGGTCCTTCCTGGATTTGGCCTTTTCAGACAAGCGGGTATGTTTCTTACCTTAATGTCTGAACCCCAGAGCTGGTCTTAATCAGCTGACAATTGCTGAAGCTTTTTCAGTTGAATAAGGATAGCATTTTAGGACAGGACAGGAGCACCCTTGTCTGGTGCACACTCTTGCAGTAACAGTGCAAGCATGCCTGGCACCTTTGAAGCAGAAGAGAGCAGAGCAATCAATACAGGGATGAGAGCCAGAACGCAAGGTTGCAATAAATGCAGTGCAAGTTTAGATCATTAGTGAAAGCTACTGGGAGTCATGCCATGATGCACTAAACTGAGCCACATACAGAACCGTTTTGTCATGCCGTGACAGGGCAGCAGAAAGAGAAATGGTGGAATAACAGGCAGAAACAGCAGCTGGCAGAGAGCTCCAGAGTAAGTGCACAATATAGAGGTGAAACTATTCCCAGAATACGATTCCCTTGGGCATAGGAGCTAGCAGTAGTGCACAATCACAGAATCTAATTCCAGGACTAGAACAGAGGGGGTCAGCAAGTCAGTTTAAACCTCAGCAGGCGAGGAAAATAAACGGGAGACAAAAACTGACAGGTAGCCTATGCAGTTAAGCCAGGAATGGAGTGATGCGGTTGTACCTCTTGGCGTCTGGTAAAATCTCTGCTTCCTTATTTTGCACAAAATAAACCCTCTTGACGAACTGATTGCTCACCAATTCATGAGGTTGTTCGTTTGCCTTGAAGACACTTGGGGTACTCTGCTGCCCATGAGTGAAAATTATTCTGGATTGGTTCAGATCTACTGTATCTCCTCAACTGAAAATGAAGTCATTCACTGTAGTGCTGCTGTCAAGCGGTTACCATGGAAATGGGGAAAACAAACACAGAGTGCTTTGGCAGCTCCTGAACACAGGCTGAGGACGTTCGGTATAAAAGAACTCTCTTCAATAAACACTAATAACATCCAGGGATTTTTTCATATCACTGTGAAATTTAATATTACACCTGATACCATAATATTATCATCAATACTTCACATTCAACAATTAATATACTAATTCACACCACACTTATGAATTTCTTCAGTATATGTGAACGATATTGGTATATGAAGTATTATTAGGTAGTAATGCAAAACACAACAGAATGCTATTATTAGGAGTTTTAAACTTTATAAACGTATTAATATATTAATAATATTAATAATTAATATTAATAATATTAATTACGTTTATTAACTTATTGATTAACTTATAAATTAGGGGTCTAAAACTTTATAAACGATGGCTGCTCAGCAATAACCATGTAATGGTCATGTATTTTTTTTTAGGGTTAATTTAAATTCCACACATTTGTCTGAACGAAATGGAATTCCGGTAAGAGTATAACAGATTTCACTGCCGATTAAAAAGAAGACAAGACTAAAATTCTACATACATTCACTGTACCCTTTAGTTATTACCTTCTTAATTATAAAACATATGCAGCTTTCAGTACATAAATATTATGAAAGTAACCTGACTGTTCAATGAATTAAAATGTGTCTTTCTCATTAGTGCCTGTCTCTTGAAGATAAAAGCTGAGGCTGGGCTTTTATTACACCAATGAAAATCATCTGAAATCACTTGGGCATATCTAATGATAATCCTTATTACAAGTGATTACAGCCCAGTTCACAAGGTGAACATTATGGAAACATTACAGGCTTTCTGCCTGTGCACAAAAGACTCAGACTCAGAGCTCAGGGCAAACTCTCGAGATAACTGTCATCTCAGAGTCTTCCACAACTACATGCTCAGAGCCACACAAATGCTAGAGTCTGCTGTAGTCACCATTGTCTCTGTCATCAAACCTCATGCAAGCATATCAGACAGAAAAATAAGTTCAGACAAATAGAAGCTGTGTAATAGCCTAATCTGGAGTGTGGAGTAGTATGACGTGGTTGGGCTGCTTCTTGAAGCTAAAGAGCAGTAAGAGCCCTGAGGGGTGCAGGTTCGGTCCCACAGACCTGGCGGTGAAATAAATCGCCTCAACCAAGCTGCCATCCTTCAGGACTCTTGAACAGGATTCACTGCTCCCAGTCACTGAGTGTAAACAGGACCAGAATAAGCACCAATATGGACTGATGTCAATCTCCTGTTGCTCCTAAATCAACAGTAGTTGTGTTATAATCTCCTCCACAGGTGATTAATAGTCCACCTGGTGTGTTACTTACCTCCTGGAGGAACGCTGTCTCTTGCATCCATTTAGAATATTCTGTCATTGTTTTGTTACACCCACCCACAGCTGAGAGGGAATCCCCTCACACAGGGGGGAGTGTAGAAGTGGAGACAGACCCCGCCCCCAGCCCCGCCCACCTTCGAGCCACTCCTCCTTTAAAACACCACGGGAAGCCACAGGGGGTGCTGTGCTTTCCAAGAGCCAAGGGGAGTCCTGGGTAACTAATTCAACCCTGCCCTTCGTGACATGCGGCCAATAGTGTGCCACCTCTTGAGGAATCCTGGGCACCGTCAGCAGATGACATGACACAGGCTCGAACCCGCTCCGCATGGAGCATAGAGACATGCATCATTTCCAGCTGAGCCACTCTGTGGGCCCCTGAGCCTTCTTTCTTTAACTTCAGCAGACAACCTCCCTCACCCAAAAAAAAAAGTCAGGGGACTGGACCAGCTCAGATCAGCCCCCACACTCACGGCCATCAGTGTAAAACTACAGAGGGAAACCTGGCGAATCTCATTACAAAAGCATGGGACAGTTTGGGGGGCAAATCTCATAAGGACAGACTAAAAAACAGAGAATGCCAAGTTAGGGAAAGTTGATCATGCTGAACGTGCACTAGCAGAAACAACGATTACGCAAGTCAGCTGATAGCAGGGTTAAACAAGGGCTTGCAACACCTGAGCCCGGGTTACAGTACACCTGATTCAGGCAGAAACTCTTCAATTATATAAACAACTCTAGAGTTTCAACACAGCTGGGCTCTCATGGTCCCTGGAGCATCCCTCCAAGCAATGGGCACAGCAGACTTCACAGTACAGCATATTACGCAGGACAGGGTCTTTCATTTCTACCTCACTGACAGCAAGGTGCTGGAAGTAAGGGACCACATTGCAGGCTGTAACGTATCCCTATGAAACTCCTCAATTTAGAGTGGCTGTGTCTTGGTATGTCTCCTGACAGGGCACCA